AGGCCAGAATACTGGAGTGGGTAGCTTTTCCCTTCTCCAGGGGATCCTCCCAACCCAGGGATCAAACCCAGGTCTCCCACATTGCAGGTGGATTCTTTACCAGCTGAGCCACAAGGGAAGCCCAAGAATACTGCAGTGGTTAGCCTATCCCTTCTCCAGTGGATCTTCCCGATCCAGGAGTCAAACCAGTAGGAGGTGGAGCCTAAATCTGAACCCCTAAGAGGTGAGGCTAGGCTGTTCCTCAAAGGAAAACCAGAGTGATGCTTCCAGGAGGAGAAAAAACTGAATGTTAAGCAAGTAAAAATACCAGATGGCCTCTACAGGTAGCAAGAGCTAAGGGTGCGAAGAGAAGCTCTTTAATTCACACCACCATGCCCTCCCCCAACTTTCTCAGCGCCCCCCTCCCCCTCCAGTCTCCCCATCCTGTTCCGCTAAGATGTACTCATTCGCACCTCCTTGGTTTCTCTCTCCCAGCCTCCTTGGATGCTGGGCGTAATCTGGTCCCCATCAGAGGTGCCGGCAACACCTTCTGGCAACGTAGCATCTGCCAGCTGCCAGCCCCACCCCCACCCCAGCCGTGGCAACTTGATTTGAGTTAATGGGGGCTGGGGGCTTGAGGGTCTCAGGCTGACCCCCACCTCCTGCCGGTGAGATCCTTGACCATCCGGGGCACACGCGATTGTCTGGCCCAAGCCAACCCGGATCAGATTTTTGAGCACAATCCCAGAAGTCTCTTGCTGGCTCTGCTGCTATGCCAGTGCCAAATATAGAACAGGCCCAGCCACCCCACCCCTTAATTCTGTAATTTGCTCGAAATCAGAAGATAACGCCAGCCTGGGGAGATATAATTTGTGATAACTGAGCCCCGCCCCCTGGGTTTGGTCCAAGAGGATGCAATGTAGAGAAACACGCCCGTGGTTTCGGCTGCCTTCCCTACATCATCTTCCCTTTTTAGCCCCTGATTCCCGGTCCTGAAAGCTGTCTACTGTGCAGCCTCTCTCTCCTCCCTCCAAGTCCCAGGGACACTCATTCAGTCTGGAGGAAACGGGCCGTTTACTTACTCACCCACCCTTCAGACGATCCCTGGGCTCGTACTATGTGTGCAGACACAGTGAGGCCCTGGGGACAGCCAGGACGTTGTCACAGACAGGCCCCCGTGGCCCAGAGATCACAGCCTGGTAAGGGAAGGGAGGCGGTGCCCCCTCTCGGGAGGATTTGGGGTCTTCAGTGACAAGCCTCGCAGTGAAGCGGAGCTGAGCAGGATGCTGTCATTATTTTGTTGCTGTTGTTCAGTCGCTAAGCCGTGTCCGACTCTTTATGACCTCGTGGTCTGCAGCACGCCAGGCCTCCCTGTCCCTCACCATCTCCTGGAGTGTGCCCAAATTCATGTCCATTGCATCGGGGGTGCCATCCAACCATCTCATCCTCTGTCACCCTCTTCTCTTTCTGCCCTCAATCTTTCCCAGTGTGAGGGGCTTTTCTAATCAGTTGGCTGTTTGCATCAGGTGGCCTAAGTATTGGAGCTTCAGCTTCAGCATCTGTCCCTTGGGAGGATATGGGGTCTTCAGTGACAAGCCTCAGGGTGAAGCAGAGCTGAGAAGGATGCTGTCATTATTAGGGAAGCAGTAGAGACTTGGGCAGAAGTAGAGGGTTGCCCGATGTGAACATCTGGACGTGCAGGTCTGGGACTCCAGCCCGCAACCTCCCCCAAGAGCTCTGGCCCCTTGACCATGGCCACGGGCCCCTGTCCTGTCCAGAAAGCTACCTTTGGAAATGGGTTATTCTCCCAGGGGAGATGTGAATACACGAGAGCCTCAGACCTGGCTTATCTGCCTCCTCCCCACTTCCTGGAATAGCTGCTATTCCGTCACACGACGAAAATGGCAGCAGCACCTGCTCACACAGGACAAGACCAGACGCTGGGGACAGCGGTGAGCCAGAGTGACCGGGCGGAGAGAACCTCCAGGGCGTCTTGCTGAATGTCAGACGATCCCCGCCCACGTCAAAGGAAAAGTTCAAGGGCTGTGAGAAGTGGCGACAGAGCGAACTGACTCCTGTGGGAGGCCAGGGTGAGGACCGAAGCGAGCGCTTGCAGGAGAGTTTGAATTTCGTTGGGGAGAGGGGGGAGCAGGCGTGGGAATGACCTCCCTCCTGGCCAGGGCTCTGCAAGGGTGAGGCCTGGAGGCCTGAGAGTGAGGTTCGAGGAAGAAGGGCCAGTGAGATTGAATGAAGCTGGGAGGTTGGTGGGTCTGGCCCTTGGCCCTTGGACTTCCCTGGGGAGCAATGACCTTCTAAGGGGCAATTCCTGGACAGGGGAGCTGGGGCTGCCCTGCCAACCCAGCTCCCCGCCTGCACTCAGGAGACCAAATTATACTTGGGTGTTAAGTAAACAAAGAGTAATTTTTTAGGATAAGTAAGTCCTGGCTTCTCCATACTTACTATAAAAAAATTATTTGCAGTTTATCTGAAATTTCAATTTAACTGGGTATCCCGTTGGGTGTTTTGCTTCTTTGCTAAACCTAACAGCCCCCAGTGGGAAGATGGAGAAGATGTCTGCTCCTCTTCGGAGCCACACTGTCGCCTCTCAGATGGGTGAGCTAGACCTCAGCCTGCCTGCCCTCACCTGCACCTTTGGCTCGGTCTTCCCCACCTCCATCCTGCTTCCAGGGGCTCCCTCTAGGGGAGCCCTGGGGAGGAGGAGGAAGGACAGACGGACAGTCTCCTGAGGTCACAGTCAGGAGCAGGGAAGAGCTAGGACCTGCCGGTTTGTGCCCTACAGGCCGGTCTCACCTTTGAGCCTTTGCACCTGCCGTTCCCTCTGCCTGGCACACCATCCTCGCCTCCCCTGCTGCCCGAGGTCCAGTCTGTCACCAGCTCAGAAGGATCTTTTCTGAACTCCCCATCTGTCCCGGCACAGGAGGCTCTGATGACAATGGTAAGGTCAGTTACCACTTGCCCAGCACTGACCATGCTGGACCTTCACGTGTTATTCTCGTGTCTCCTGGAGGGCAGGCTCCTTCCCCCTTTACTACACAGACGTGAAACCTGAGGTTCACAGAAGCGAGATAACAAGAGGCAAAGCTGGGCTGTGAGGTCTGGGGACACCCCACCCCAACTCCCAGGGAACCAGGACTCCACGAAATTCAGTAGCAGGGGCTGTTAAGGACAGCAGCATTTGCTGGCCACAGAGACCCCTGGTTGCCCTCCCCACCTTTCTCTTTCCAATTATAAACCCGCTTCCTGCTCAAACCAGCAGGAAGCCAGGTTTCCTGTTTCCTTTTTAAAACCTAGCTAGATTTTTCTTTGACCCCTGATTCCTGAAGCTGGACGAGCAGGAATCCATGAAGAATTCTTGACTGAACAAAATAGCAAGTCGGCCCTCTCCCGAATCTTTCTTCTGTTGTCATAGAGAGCAATTTCATGATGCTTAGCCTGTGACTCACACGCCCAGAATGCCGAGTGGGGTGCGGGGAGATCTCAGCCCGCCCTCCCCAGCCCATGGCAGCAGCCTCGGGGTCTCTGCCTTAGCTCACACGCTGTCTTGGCCTCTGCTAAATGCCACCTAGAGCTGAACCTCTCGAATTCTCAGGGATTAATCAGGCTCATGAGTTTTTAATCAGTTCCCCGTTGCCAACAATCCACCAGGGAGCAGAGTGGCGTTGGGCAGGGGAAGGAAGTCTGCTTCAGTGGACAGGGGCTTGCTGTGTGTGACTTGTGGAATGCCTGCTGTCTCTGAGCCTCATTCATGTAAACTGGAGAGAGAGAGCACATAATCCTATGGTAATAGAGGAACTCACTGATGAGGTGTTTTTGTGCATATCCCACATGGGCTAGAAAATGTCTCAGGCCCTGGGATCTATCTACAGATGAAAGGGACAAGCTTTCCCGCCCCCACCCCCCACTCCCAAGGACTTGCATTCTTCAGGGGGAGACAGAGATTATGGACCTGCACTGCCCACTGTGAAGCCACTAGCATGAGTGGCTATTTAAATGCAGAGTAATTAGAATCAAAGAAAATGGCCAATTCCATCCCTCTGTCATCATGATCACATTTCCAGTGCTCAGTCGCCATAGGAGGCCCGTGGCTATGTAATGAGCAGTGCAGATTATAGCACATGTCTACCCAGGAGGAAGTTACTGGACAACACTTCTAGAGACTAATAGGCCACATGACCTCAGAGAGAGTGATGGCAGGTGAACAGAGGAAGAGGGGAGACATAGGCAAAGTGATGCTTTTTCTTAGAAAGAAGGAGATATTTGAGCGAATATGAGAGCTGTGAGGGAATGCTTCCCGTAGAAATCTGGAGGACGACTGCTCAAGATAGAGGAAACAGCAAGTGCAAAGGCCCTGAGGTAGGGGCACAGTTGGGGCCCTGAGGGGAAGGGAGGCGAGCACGGCTATGGTGGACGAACCTGCCAGCTCCTCCAGCAGTGAGCAGGGCGCAACGCTGTGGACTGTAGCCCGCCAGGCTCCTCTGTCCACGGAATTCTCCAGGCAAGAATACTGGAGTGGGTTACCATGCCCTCCTCCAGCGGCTCTTCCCAGCCCAGGGATCGAACCTGAGTCTCCTGCGTCTCTTGCGTTGCAGGTGGATTCTTTACCCACTGAGCCACCTGGGAAGCCCAGTGAGCCGGGGCAGCGTTGCAATTCCAGGTCAGCTCTGTTGTTCCAGAAGACAGCTCTTTCCCAGGACAGTCTTTTTTTTCCCTTCCTCTCTGTTCCCTCTTCCTGTTCTGAATCTGGAGACTCACAGGACCTCAGAGCAGGCAAGGCTGGAACCACGCACTCACTCATGTGGGGACAGAAAGACTGAGGCCAGAAAGGTGAGTCTGGACTATAAGGCGGTCTCCAGCTGCCTCTTCTGAATCACATGATCTGGAAGCCGTTCTTCTCTTTCGCCATCTCAGAACTGACACTGGTGTAGCTCAAGTGAGTTTCCCCAGGGCAGCAGCATCAGAACCACTCAAGCGTGGCAGGGATGTGGTCCCTGGGCCTGGGGCCCGGCAATCTGCACTCCATCACGCCTGCCAAGTGATTCTGGGGCTGCCAAAGTTTGACATCCAGAAACTCTGGGCTGGTCTTCTTTGCACATTCTTCCCTCCAAATCAGCTGAATTGTTCTGAAATACACAATCCACCTACAATCACTACACTTTGCTGCCCCAGATCTTCAATAGTGTCTGGAATCAGATAACTTTGGGCATCCCTTCAAATCCTTTTGGTCACGTCACTCACTCCAACTAACTACAGAGCTGTGATGCTCTGCTCCATGCGGATTTTGTTTGTTTGTTTTTCATACAGGTTTTTACCCACTTTGTGCAGGAGTAATCTGCCTCTCCTCAATCCTGCCTGCCCCCTTCTGATCCTTCCTGGGGCCTGGGCCATTGTGGCCCCAACCAGCCCGTAAGTGGGAGTGATCCTGGCCAATGGGGGCCAGAGCCTGAGAATGAATGCGTTCTACATTCTTCCTGGGCTGGGTGCTCCTGGAAGCCCCATGGGACACAGCAGCTCAGCTTGGGGCCCCCATCCCAGCACCCTGGCCAAGTCCCTGGATCACACTTTCTAAGTAATCACTCTTAATAAGACTTTGTTGTAGGCTCTGCTTTCTGGAGACCCCAGACTAAGACATGCCCTTTATCTATCCGCATTCAGCCAGATGTTCACGTCCTATAAGGCTAGACTGTAGGACGGAGGTTACACCCTGAACAAGACAACCCCTGCCTTCCAAGGGTCCTAATAACCAGTGTATCACGGGACTGGGGAGGCAGGACCCCTCCAGGAGGCCTCCTTCCTTGCCTTAGACGTGAAATGACAGTGATACGAAATCACACCCATGCTTTCTGGGAAAGGAGTGTTCCCCTCCTGTGTCCGTCTTTTCTTAGACTTGTTCATTCTTCCTGCATTAGATGGGCACCTCCCAGTCCAGCTCCCCCCAAACCCAGCAATCTATAGATCCCCCAGAACCTCTGTGTCCCGTCACAAATTGTTACCAGCTACCGAGCCTTACCTTCAGCCGGCCTCTGTGACTAATGGTTGACAGAGTGGATTTGGGAACAAGACTCCTTGGGTTTGCATCCTGGCTCCACCACCTATATCACCTGTGCAACTTTGGGCAATCTGTGATCCAGCATCTTAATTTGGAAAGTGGGGGCAAAAGCATCTCCCCCATAGAACTGTTATGGAAGCAACATTAATATGTGAATACGCACATACATGCTTAGAGCCACACAGACACCCCGGCAGTACTATGCGAGGGTGGCTATTATAACTGTTAAGTCTTTATTCTCATCCCAGCCCTGTGATCTAAACATTATCACCTAACTGTTCAGATGGAAAGCTGGAGTTCAGAGAGGTTAAGTGATGCCAGTGTGCCCAGTCACGCAGCTGCTCAGAGGTGGAGCAGGCACTTGAACTCCGTCTGCCCCAGTCCAGAGTCCTTGGCACCCAGGGGCTGTTTTCCTGGTGCTCTGGGGCCAAGCTGCAGCGTTAAACCTTTCTTCCACCTTGAGGGGAGGACTGCTCCCTGCCTGCGGATGGGCTTTGATTATTTCATGGAGGGAGACCATCCAGGAGGAACACAGGGTTTCCGGAGGCCCTGGAGGCACCAATCAGCCCCCACACCTCGGAACCTCGTTCCCTTTTCTCCTGATTCAATCTCTGTCCCCCAGTGTCAGCTGTAACTGTGTGGTGGTGACGTCTGGGCTGCTGGGATCAGAGAAAGGATTTTGTTCATAACGGTATTTCCAAGATTGCCTTCCAAGGAAAACTTACGCCTTCCGAGGCCCAGTGGAGTTAAATCAAGAACAGCTCTGGGGTTTAAGATGTCTAGAAAATATTGGGTTAAATAAAGTCAAAAGATCTCCTGGCCCCTTTCCCACCCAGGATGTCTGAGGACCTTTAACATGTGTGCGTGGGCTGGGACTCTCCAAAGGGGACTCCAGCCTACGTGTTTCCCAAACAGTTACCCGAGGAACCCTCTTTCCTGAAGATGACCTTTCAGATTTGCCGAACTAGCTTTGGGCACAGCTGCTGTAGAGTTTGGCACACTCTACCCTCTTCCAGAAGGACAGATTATGGAAACCAGATGGGGGTTTCCCTGATCCGGCTGCTCCCGCCTGAGGAGTCTGTTCCCTACACTTGGGAGAAAGTGTGAATCGCCCATCTTGGGCTCTGGGTGCCAGTGCTGGGGTGCAGGAAGGGCGTGTTCAGCGGGAAGGCAAGGGCCTTCTGTGTCCTAGAAAGTGCATGCCACCTCCAAGGCCAGGCCCAATGGTGGCTAAGGTTCTGCCATGTTGCCTTGTTTATTACAGCTATGCTGGTTAGTAAAGTGGAAATTCCTCCATACCTATTAGTTGAAAGCTGCTGCTCTGAGCCCTCAAGTTCCCTCACCCCCACTGCTGTTCCAGCCACTACAGCCTCTCTTGTGGGACCCTCTGCACCTTCCCATGATCTGGCAGCCAAGGGGTTAATGCATGGTGCAGGCTGGGGCCCCCTGGGACCCTCCCAGCCTCCAGCAGGCCTGGGTCTATTCCAGCTGGTCACAGCTCTGCCATATTTTCGTTCTATTTGTTTGTCCAGTTGCTAGTCGTATCCTACTCTTTGCAACCCCATGGACTGCAGCACACCAGGCTTCCCTGTCCTTCACTATCTCCTGGAGCTTACTCAAACCTATGTCCATTGACTCAGTGATGCCATCCAACCATCCTATCCTCTGCCATCCCTTTCTCCTCCTGCCTTCTACCCTTCCCAGCGTCAGGGTCCACACCAGTCGATATAACTATAATATCATCATTGGTGTCCACTATTAGTACCCACCAGATGCTCTAATGTCAGAAGACATGAGCAGATGAAGAACATAGGAACAATGGTATACTAGAGGAGAAAGAGTACAGACTCGGGACTTCAGATCTTTCAACCTCTCTCTCCGCCATCCCTAGCTGTGTACCCTGGGGAGGTTGTTCTCTCTCCCTGAGACTGTTCTCATCTGCACGCCAGGTGTTACAAGGGTGAAGGAGACCCGTGGCCAGTACAGGGCCTGGGCCCCACAGAATGTTAGTGGCCTCTTCCGTCCCCACTGTGCCCAGTGCAAGATGCTGGTGGGTGGCTGGTGCTTGGAGTGATGATCCTCGCAAGTGTCTCTTGCCCAGAGCACCCTCCTTATTAAGGGAGCTGTTCCATAGTCACATCTAATTACCCTCTAACTGCCTGCTCCCCACTGGGCCCTGCCTAGGCAGGAGCTGGTATCTAATTGGAGCCACTCCATTGTCCTGGCAGGACTCTATTCCTGCTAGGGGAGGCAGTCCGGGTGGGAGGCCAGCTCTGCCTGGCTCCTGCAGGCTGCTTCCAGCTAAGGGGTAGGGACAGCAAAGGTGAGTATGGTTTCCCCTGAGTTACTGCTCCCGGTGAGAGCAGGACGCAGGACGGGAAAGACTGTTGCCTGAGCTCATGGTGTTGGAGGCTCTGTGTAGTTTATTCCTCCGTTAAAGCCATCTGGATAATGTCTAGGGGTGCTTGCTTGGAGCCCAGCAGACCTGGGTTGAATCCTTGCTCTCTCTTTACCAGCTTTGGCTTTAAAATCTTCATCTGATCCTCAGGTTTGCTATCTGAAGAATGGGAAAGTAGGAAGGAAAAGACAGAAGGACATAAGGGTTTCACACCGAGCCCAGGACACACATGCTTTTGTTGAGGCTACTGGTACAGCTTCACACTTCTGATTCCATCCCACCCACCAGGCCCGAAGGCCTCTGGCTGGACGCTTTCACAACTCACATCTCACTGAACGCTCACAGCAACTCAGTGGAAATAATTTGGTTTTTTTCATCGAAAGGGAGACTGAGATTCAGAAAGTTAAAGTGACTTACTCAAGATCACCCAGCCGGTAAGCTGAAGAAGTCTAATTTCAATGTTCTTTCTGCATCCTCTCCTGACATTCATTCATAAATAAACATTTATTGGGTGCCTATTAGATCCAGCAAGGATTGGTCTCCAGACTTTGGGTCACATCCAGAGACCTTCATATCTGTAGCTTCATTCCCTACCCCCTTCTTCCTGCGTGCCTCTACTATAGAGTCGAGATTCAATTTCCCAGTCTCTTTTACAGCTAAAGATGGCTCATATATGTGTCTGACAATCTGGCAGGGGGAGTTAGGGCCAGCGCTAGTGGGAGGTAGATTGATCTTTCAAGGAATCCTGGTAAAAATTTCGAAAAGCTTTGAAATCCTGGTAAAGAATTAAAGCTACATTAGTACATAGGCTAACTTCTCTCTTTCTGCCTTAAATACAGACATGACTTCTGGGGTGGCAGCAGCCATCTTGTGACCATGAGACTTCAAACATAAAAATGAAAATCAATAAGCTACGAATGTTCAAGAAGAAGGATGATAATTCTGGGTTCCTGATGGCATTGCTGAGACCTGAACTACCACTCCAGTCACCTACTAAAAGGTGAGAAGGACAAACCCCTATTTGTTTAGGGGCTAAACTTGAGGCCAGTAGTTCTCAAGGTGTGATACTTGCTTGAACAGCAGCACGGGCATTACATAAGAACTTATTAGAAAAGCAAAATTTTGCCCTCCTTCCATGATTCGGACCTGCTAAAGCATAAACTCTGAGCAAACTGAATTTTTACAAGCCCTCTGGGTGGTTCTGATGCATACTGAAGTTTAGGAACCATTGACCTAAGCACCTCATTGATCTGGTACTTGTTTACTTGTATCTGAGAGTAAATCTCACTGACACTATCTCTCTGAGTTTTTGCTTAAAGACTTTTCCCTGCCTAGAAAGCCCAATTTGCCCTTCTCTTCTAGACTTTTTCATTAAATGAATTAATTTTGATAAGAGAAATCCAGAATGGCAGAAAATTCAGCTGCTGCAACTTGGCAAGGTACACAATTATTTTCTGGATTTGGTCTCAGCCATCTCAGAGGGCTGGATATAAGCACAAAGCTATAAAATTGTGCCATTTAAGAAAATATCTGGTTCCAGCTGGAAAACTTAGAATTGGAGTTTGTCTCTCTCCCTTTTACATGAGACCAGAAGGAGTGATCAGCATGCTCCAGTATCCTTCCTGTCAGCTGCCACAAGTTCCCCCAGGCCTCCTCTCAGTGAGACCTTGATCTGAGCCCACATGGTCCATGGTGGGCAGCTCAGATGCTAGGCTGATGGCCCAAGAAGGCAAAGGCAGAAGTGAAAGACCTTTTGAGACCTAGGCTCCAAAACTCACACAACCTCACTTTGGCCAGATTCTGCAGTCACAGGCCAGTCTGTATTCAAAGGGGTGGAGAAGCAGGCTTTACCTCTGGCTGGGACGTTCAGGGCCTCACGTTGCAAAGGGGCCAGTGTACTGGGATGGGAGGAAGGTGCGGCCCTTAAACCACTTACCAGGCTCTTCTCGTCTCTCACTTTGCTTTAATCTCGCAGACAGCTTCATGTTTCCTCTGAGACATTATTGCAAATCCATTCTTGGTTCCAATTTTTCTGCGAGTCAGAGATTCTTTAGTTGCAAGGAATAGAAATGACTCAAAATAGCTCAAGGAAGCTGGGAAGAGTACAGATATCGTGGAAATGAAATGGATTTGGACCTGGCAGAACCTGGAGCTGGGAGGAACCAAGAAAGTACCTTTTTCTCGATTACTTTGTTTCCTCTCTCTTCTTTATCTATGTGATCTTGCTTCTACAATTCTCCTTTTTCTGTCTACATACCCTGCATCCTTGTGGCTTCTTTTCTTCCCTGTCATTTTGGTCTCAGATATGCAAGCAAGAGTCTGCTAGTCTGTGGAGGAGGGAATGCAAAAGACAGCTGGCAAGTTTCTGGTGTTCAGACTGGCCCCAATTCCAGTCTGTTATAGACCCAGAACCCCAGTTAACTAGAGACTTCTTGTCCCTGAGTTCATATTTTTATGGAAAAAGGGTTCCCTGGACCTGCAGTGGGCTGGCACCCTGGGATCGTCCCATCGGCTCATTACCTGCAAACATCAAGGAAGATGTGACACAAAAATGGCTTCCCAGGTACAGCCCCGCTCCTGGGCTGTGAGTGTGCTGTTCTTGAGGGCAGCAGGCTGTCAGAATTTAACTGTGACTTCCCTGGGGTGCTGGGACCCAGGGAGAACCCTCAATGTGTCTCCCAGAACCACAGTAAACAGCTTGACTGGTTGACCCAGCAACCCTCCCCGTGAGGACCTTGTCTTCCAGGCCCCCCCGGGATTGCTCTTTTGCTCCCAGAAGGGTGAGCCATTACCTGCTTGTGCTGTGGAGGTGCCCGAGGCCCAGCAGGAACCACGGGCTTGCTGGTCCTGCACTGTATGAATCGTGTAACCATTGGTCCATCTTCCCGAGCTTCCGTTTCTCCACCTGCAGGACAGGTGTGGGGTCCCTAACCCCCACTTGGGAAGGCTGAAGGTAGCAGATGCTAAGTGTCTAATAGATAGGCAGTCCCTATATCTCAGGCAGTGTGGTTCTACTTATGGTTTTTCGACTTTATGACGGTATGAAAGCAATAGCATTCAGTAGAAACCATACCTCAAATTTTTAATTTTGACCTTTTCCCAGGCTGGTAACATGTGGCACATTATCTCGTGACGCTGGGCAGCCACAGCCACAGCTCCCAATCAGACACACGGTCAGGAGGGCGAATAATCGATACGCTTACAGCCGTTCTGTACCCAGACAACCATTCTGGTTTTCACTTTCAATATAGCATTCAATCAGTTACATAAGAGAGGCAACATTTCATTATAAAACAGGCTTTGTGTTAGATGATTTTGTCCAACTGTGGGCTGACATAAGTGTTCTGAGCGTGTCTAAGGTAGACTGGGCTAAGCCACGATCTTTGGTAGGTTATCTGCAAAACTGCCTTTCGGATTTATGACATTCTCAATTTACATTGGGTTTATTGGGATATAATCCAGTTGTAAGATGAGGAAGATCTGTAGTGGATGGTATTGGAGATACTAAAAAGTGATGGCTGAGTAACAATAATGGTGCTGATAATGATGAACATACCTTACTAAGAAATAAACTCCCTTGACCTGTTATTTATTTTTTTTAAGATTTATTCATTTATTGGCTATGGTGGGTCTTCGTTGCTGCACACAGGTTTTCTCTAGTTGCAGCGATGGGGGCCCCTGTTTAGTTGTGGTGTGCAGGCTTCTCATCGCGGCGGGGCTCCTTTTCAGTCGCGGTGGCTTCTCCTGTTAGGGAGCACGGAATCTAGGCGCACGGGCTTCAGTAGTTGCAGCGGTCGGGCCTGGTGGTTGCAGCTCACAGGCTCTAGAGCACAAGCTGGGGCACAGGGCTGAGTTGCTCCACGGACTGTGGGATCTTCCCGGACCAGAGATCGAACCAGTGTCCCCTGCATTGGCAGGCCCAGGGAAGTCCCAGCATGTGAGTTTTAAGGGGATGAATCTCTCACTGCTTGCAGAAGAGTAGGACTGCCTTGGCCCTGGGGACATAATCAGCAGGTGTGGTGTGACACCTTGGGTCTCCTTGATGCCTGGGGCAGATGTGTGTGTGCAGACGTGCGGATGTGTAGGCGTGTGTGTGTGTGTGTGTGTGTGTGTGTGTACACGGTAGGCGTCTGACGACACACATCTCCCAACTTCCCGGCTCTTAAACCTGCACGGCCAAGGGTTCGAGCTTCTGTGCAGCAGGTTACAGCAGGGTCTCTGAAGCTGGGCTTGCTCAGGGCCTCTCTACTTCCTCCCGAGGTCAGTCAGGCCCCTGCAAGATCCAGGGCCCCACAGCATGGGGTAAGTCCTGGGACATGCTGGGTGGATTCTGACACAGGTTGATGAATGTTACAGACCCCTTTTTTTTTCTTTTCTCAACCTTTTTCCTTGTGGTCACAGCCTGCTTGGAGAATCCCTGTGGGAACATGGGGTGCGGGTCAGATAAAATTCAGATTTAAAAATTGAGTTCCCAGGCAGCACACAGGAACTGAAGACCCAGACGGCTATTGGCAGGTAGGGGCAGGAAGTCGAGCCCCTTGCGTTCCTGGCTTTAGAGTTCAGGTGACTTAGACGACAGCTATCGGCCCAGCCTTGCCTCTGAGGTCTCCGTGAGATAGTCTTTATGCCCTTTGTCCCAAGACCTAGAGAAGTTCAAAGTCTTCTCCTCCACTTTTGCTAATTCCCAGCAAGAATTAAAGAGAGCAGAAAGGGGAGGGGCTCCTCCCCTGGATGGTCTTCTTTCTGGGCCTGTGCTCCCCGGACACGCTGCCACGCTGCCTCTGAACGGTGCCTCACTGATCCTGATGTGAAATTGGCTTCATTTCCAGAAGGGAAACAGCAAGCATTTGCATAAAATATTCATGAATGCAATATCTTCTACTGGAAAACCTGGGGGGGAGGGTGGGCCTTATCACAAAATGCACATTCTCATAACTTCAGCTGCTGCTTCTCTTGCTGGCTGTGTCGTAGAGTGATTACCAGCTAGGGGTTTGGAGCCAGACTGTCTGGGTTCAAAGCCCAGCCGTGCTGCTGTTTACTAGCTGTGCCAGCCTGGACATCTTCCCTACCTCTCTGTGCCTCTCTAAAATCTTTCTCTGAAAATGAAGTTGCTCAGTCATGTCTGACTCTTTGTGACCCTGTGAACTGTAGCCTCCCAGGCTCCTCCGTCCTTGGGGTTTTCCAGGCAAGAATAATGGAGTGGGTGGCCATTTCCTTCTCCAGGGGATCTTCCCAACCCAGGGATCGAACCCAGGTCTCCCACATTGCAGGCAGACTTTTTTATTGTCTGAGCTACCAGGGAAGCAGGCAAATTAACGAGTTAATAGTTGTAAACTGCTTAGAGAAATGCCTAACTCAGGAGGTGCTCTAGAAGCAACTAGTAAATTTAACCCCTTTCACTTGAAAACTGGGACTTATCATACTGGTTATGAGGAAGAAATGACATTAAAAGCATTGTGGACTTCTTTTTTGTTGGTTTTTTGTTGGTTTTTTTTTTTTTTTTGCTCTTTGGTGGGGCCTGTGCTGCCAGGAGTCCAACTCCCAGCTTATCTGGGGAAGACTCCTCAGTCCCTGAGGTGTGGGTGGACCTGGAGCCCCTCCCCTTGCACCAAAGCCCTTGGCAGCTGAAGCTGAGACCTGTGACCTTGCCTCTGTTGTCTGAACACCTCCCCTCTGGAACCTGATGCCAGCAGCATCCCAGCATCAGCACTGGCTACGTGCCCCAGACAGCCTGTCTATTAATGTGACTGTGGCTGTGGGTCCTACCCCGTGGCCTCCCATGGTTCCTGCCAGTTCTCTGAGCCTGATTCACCCCGTTTTGTAAGCTCCCCAAGCTCTATCTGTGGCAGAGACTTCTGCCCTCCCCCTCAGGAGCATCCCCCCCTACTCATTTAACTGGGCTAACAGCTGCTAGGCACACACCTAGACTCCCCAGCCTCCCTCGGCACAGGTGTGGCTGTCGAACAGGCTCCAGCTGTCTGAACGCAGACAGCTGAACAACTCCGCAGATGGGGTGGGATGAGCAGCAGTAAGGGTACACCTTCCGGGGGGGCCTTGCAGGGACAGACCATCCCCTCCCCACCTTATTCCCCTTCCTGCTAGCGGAACAGTGAACCTTCCTGGAGCATATGCTGAGGGCCTGAAAAATTCATGGAGCAGAACCACCGTTACATTTCGGCTACTTCCTGAAAAAGAAAGAAATTTCTCTCATTTAAGCTATGCTATTCCTGGCCTCCTTTCTCTGGAGCTCCCTGCCTTATAGGTAGCTAGTTCAGTTCAGTTCAGATCAGTCAATAGTCGTGTCCGACTCTTTGCAACCCCGTGGACCGCAACACGCCAGGCCTCCCCGATCATTGTCACCTCCCGGAATTGACTCAAACTCATGTCCATTGAGTTGGTGATGCCATCCAACTGTCTGTAATATGACTTCTAATAGATTTCCTCCGTGGCTTCAGCTACCAGAGGTGGTTCCTATATCTTTTCTTTTTTGTTTTTTTCTGCTCTGTACTTTTCTTTTTCTCTTTCTTCCACTTTCTTTCCGGTCTGCTCTTTCTCTGTAATTGAGCACCTTGGTTCCTGCATTGCACAGAGCACAGAGTGCGCACATTCCTTAGTGCAGATCCGGGTTTGGATAAATACTAGCGATTGTTTGCGTTGTTCCTCGCCCCCGCCATCCTGGATGCCCTGGGAGCTTGCGAAGTCTCCCTTCTTGCAGGGCAGCCTCCTCCCTCACTCTGAGGCTTGGGCACCAGGCCCAAAGTTCTTACCTCTCTCCCCAACACTTGTCAAAATATTTTTTCCAAACAATGTTACGTATATTCCCATGAGGAGCTCTGGCGCCAGCTGTGAAGTTAATAAAAGTCCCTCCCCTCAGATGGGCTTTTTTGGTTTTGTTTTGCCCGTGAGCCTGTCGTCCACCATTTCTATTTCTTTGATCTCTAAACGGAAAACAAAATTCAAGGAACCTGAGCCCACAGCCCATGGAGAGAGGCCTGGAGGGTAGAGGTCAGCAGGACCTGAGCCAAAATACAGTGTCAGGTGGCAAATCAGAGAATGCCAGACCCGGGACAGCCTCAAGAGGCTGGATGGGAAAGTGATCACTGGATGTCAACGGTGAGCCAGAGACCACACTGGGACCCCTGCTTCCTCAGTTTCTTTATCCGTAAAATGGGTATATTAGTATCTTCCTCACATGTTGCTGAGGAGAAGTAACACAGGTAAAGTGCCTGGCACACACCCGGCACATGTTCCCCCGGATGGTATTTCCTATGGCTGTTTCTGTATTATTTGTTCGGAATTATTGCTTTTTTATTGGAGGATAATTGCTTGATGGCATTGTGTTGTTTCTGCCGTATATCAACATGAATCAGCCACAGGTATACGTATGTCCTCTGTTCTGGATTAGGTGTTCCCAAACTTGCCTTATCTTCCTACCACACTGGTTCTCAAACTTGAGCATGCATCAGAGTCACCTAGAAGGTTTGTTGAAAAGGGGGTCCACCCCCAGAGCTGCTGATTCAGTAGGTCTGTACTGGGACCAGGAATCGGCATTTCCAACAAGGTCCCAGAGGGTGCTGATGCTGCTGGTGTGGGGATCACACTTAAAGAACCACTGTTCTACTGCACTAGTGGCTTAATGACAGACCCGAAGTTGATCTGGGAAGGCGAACGCAAAAGTAGAGAGCTGGAAGAGCTCTAGCAAAGCTTCTTATGGGGTAACTCAGATCTGGGAGAGAAGCGCCTTTGCACAGGGTTCGGGTGGAAGAGGAATTGGGGAAGGTTTCACAAAAGAAGTAATACTTGAGTGGAACTTGAAGAGCCAGGAGAAATTTGCCAGGCTGGCTGGACAAGGAGCATCCCCAGCAGAGGGAACAGCAGGTACAGAGGTAAGGCGGCAGAAGAAAACACAGCACATTGGAGGCACAGCGCTCCTTTTTCTTAACTCCCGAGGCATCTTCGGAGAGCACGATGGAGCTGACAGGACACACTTAGCAGCCTGTGTGCGCATTTGAAGACACCGAGGAAGGTATGTGAGGATCCGTTCCCGGGATGGGCAGCTGAAGCCCTGAGACCAAAAGGCTTGCCTTCACACCCCACAGGACACATCATCTTTGATGACACTTGCGGACTTCAGTGATACCGTGCATGGACAACTCAAAAAGCTTTAATCCCAGTACTGCCCACTGCATGGATATGTTTCCATACCTTTATGCGAGATGGAGCTTAGAAGTACAAATGCTGGATTTCCATGACATGCTTGGTGGGAACAGCAGGGCAGACTGTATAAAACAAAGTCTGGATTCGAAAATCCAAGTTGCAAATTCACCCAAGGACCCAGCTTTCCTCCTTGGAAGGCTCCTCTTCCCCTGGTCCCCCAGCTTTTTCTCTCTTCCCATCTCCATCATGCCTATTGCTCGGCTGTTTCCTGCTCTGCTTGTAAATCTCACCCCAGAGAACACAGCTACTCGCCTGCAATAGCAATTACACATTATTGGAGGGTCAGTGGTGACGCACGCAGGCGGCTTCTAGGCATTTGCAGGTGTCCATGGGGAGCTCAGGGTCCCGGGGGCCTATTGGGCCCATGCATC